ATTATTAGACCACAGCCCTTTGGTTTGATAAGGGACTGTATGTTACTCTCCTGCTCATTGCAAGATTAGCATAGACATACACACTAGACCTCACCTTGGCTACGGCAGTTCATTGGAACGAATGCGTCAATAGAGCCGCCATCTTGAAACAGGGGAGCCCCTCCACTTTAATGCATCAGCGTCAATGTAGTAGACACAGGTCTAACGGAAATAAAATCACCATAAATCATCATGAATGCGATTTTTCTTGTTTTTTTGGTTTGTTCCAACGGTCAGACATGTATTTAACATTGATTACAGAAAGAAAATGTTTTTTATTTATTTTTTAAAAAACATTCTTCCTAGTTCAGATTTCATCCGTGAACTTCATACGCTGCACAAAAATCCGCCACCATCAATGAATTCGAAGTAAAAGCAGAGATAGCAGCGTTACCTAGCTACTTCCTATGACAAGACCCCTGTTCCAAGATGGCGGCGGTTTTGACGCATGCTTAACCCCAAGGTGAGGTCTAGTGTATACAGTATGTCTATGGCAAGATTAGAAGCAAACTAAGTTGCACTTTATTTCGATAGTCACTTTAGACGTTCTACTAATTATAAGTAACTTTTCAACTACGTGTCAACTAACTCTCATTAGAGTATTAGTTTATTATAGTAAACTGTCAGTAGACTGTTAGGTTATGGTTAGGTGTCAGGCTTTGGGTTAGGAGAATAAGTTTACTTGTAGTCGCCAAGTTACTTATAGTCAGTTGAATGTCTGTTGGGGGACCAACAAAATAAAGTGTTTGCAGATATTAAGCAGACAGTCTACTAATACTCTAATGACAGTTAGTTGACATGTAGTTGAAAAGGTACTTATAGTTAGAAGAATGTCTAAAGTGGACTATCGAAATAAAGTGTTACCGCAAACTATCACTAGAACACATATTGCAGTTGAACTTCATTGTACTTCATACGCTTCCGTCATCTAAATAAGTGGAAAAACTGAAGCATTTCCCAGTTATATATCCGTCTGTCTCGTGGACACGCTGTGTTCCAAATAAAATGCCACATAATTAATCGTGACATGTATTGCGATGTCTAACATATCATAAGATAGTTGCATATACCCTAGCCAGTGTTGCTATAACAGTACGAGACACAGACACCATCATGTTGTGTCAACCAGCGACACCCTCAGCGCTCAATATGAGAAGTGAAAAAGCCTAATGATACTCTGAGGAATCCAGCATTTTCTGTAAAATGACAGTTCTATTGTACAGTATGTGTGTGTTCACTGTGCCTACTTGCGTCACTCTTACAATAATTGTATTTTCACCAGGTGCGGGGTCAGGGTGTCTGTAAGGATACTGTCCGTGACGCCGGGCTACTGACTGATCTGCGATTCAAATCTACAGTGCGTTGAGTTCTCTCCTCGCGCTGTTTCCTCTAATAAATGAATGCTGATGGTCCATTCTCTTTAGTCATAATGAATAGCTATTATGTGTCTCTATGAGCCTGATCTAAATTCAATAGGCAATCACTCAGGAATCACATGGTCCTTCGGTGTCGTGTACCTTCCCCCCCAAAAAAACTAAGAGAGAATGAAGAATGAGAGGCGTGACCAATGTCGTGACATTAGAGACAGACCCACCTGCAAGATAGATGCACTGAGAGACCGGAAACAGGTGCATGCCTGTTGAATCCTGTCAGCTTTTTGGGTTTATTCTTGTAGTTCTTTTCAATCAAAATGAAAAAAATGCCCTGGGACCAAGGCATCTGCCACTATAAAGGCTCAAAGAGCCTCTGGACGCCAGTTTGACGTCCCATAATTCCCCGGAAGGGGTTGTTGAGGTAATCCTCTGGTTCACGTTGTGTTGTAAAGCTCAACTACTTATAGACTATTAGACTAATTTTAACCATTAACAGTACATTGTCTTCTGCTAATATTATTTCATTCATTTTTAATTTGTAAAACAAATGTATGATAGAAGCATCTTTTATGATTTATTGCGGTTAGAGTGTGATGTGTGTGAGTTATAAGGGCTCAAGAAGGTTTAGTCATGCTGAGTTCAGAGGACTTGCTCTGAAAGGTCACACTCACTGGGGGAGAAGGAAAGGGAGGATCCCTCAGCCAATCATACGGCCTCCTGCTGCTGATGCTGCCCCCGCTGAATCACCATGGAGATGCAATATCTGTCCCTATTGACAAGTCATACGGAAGATGCATCCATTTTTTGCATGTCTGCATCTTCACAGTAGAAAAAATAGCAGTTGCATTAATTGTGGATTAATTAGCGACATCATGCTTTGTTTTTTCCCCCTTCGTTTTCATTCCCAGGCCCCCCATCTCGCTCCTTTTAGTGTGTGACCGCTTTACTCTTTCTCACCGCAGATAATGGAGAGGGTGCAAGACCAGCCTTCTTGAACTGACCCCCATCTTCTCTTCCTCTCTCTATTTAACATGGGTCTTTTCTTTTCACACCACTCATCCAGTCCATTTCTCACGCTCTCCTCTTTTGGCTTCCGTAGTTGCATCTCTGTTGTGAATTTGCGGGATGGCGGAACCCAGCCCCTTCGAGTAGTACGCTCGATTGTGATGTCTTTAAAAGAAACTAAACGCTCCTTTCAGAAGTTGTTGCTGCTGTCGAGCTTTTTAAAAGAAAGGGAGTGATTTCATAAGTGAGAGGAAGAGGGAGGGAAAATGAAAGAGAAACAGGAGGTCATGCAATGTCTATATAATATATAAATATAAAACTTTGTATATATATGTAATATAAAGTACCCATAGTAGATCTATACAGCTGGAGTTGGTGGTGGTGGATGGTTTCAGAGGAACTTTGAAAGCATGCTGCAAAATGCTTACCCACTATTTAAATTGTGAGCTGCAAGCTCATTGGCTTCAGATGCAACAGCAACCAATCAGCTTGTGGCATGTAGTCTACACAGGAATTGTAGGCAAGGTTGCAATAAAGTTGAGACCCATATATGTATATATATTAGTGTGTGTTGTGAGCCATATCAGCATCAGATTTCTCTGTATAATAAGGGCTGATCATTGCAGAAAGGGTGATTAGTTTGTGCTTTTGGCTCAGGTTGGTGGGTTTGCATGCAGTAAAATTCTCAGCACTGTCAGCATCATTAAAGATCTGCTTTGAGTTGCTCCTTCTAGCCCTTAAAGGTCTTCTCTTTCATACAGAACAACTATACGTAAATGAGGAACAGCACATCCAATGTTACTTTCCGTTGATGGTGCTTGAATATTCGCTGATTCTGTTATCTGTTTCCTTCCGTTATGCTCTCTCATTGTGCCCTTGCACAAGTTTGTTTAACCTAAAGTTGTTATGCAAAAATAACTGACTAAAGGGTTTTTTTTTTAAGCAAGAGCCAGCTTATGGACAGGGCTTTATAAAACATTTAGTGCAGGAAAAAGAATGTGCCAGTAAAAAAACAACAAAAAACATGATAATGTTTTTCATTATATTCTCACCTAAAGGATTATAAGGGACACCTGTTGTCAGAATGGGAAAGAAATGTGATTTTAGCAATTTTGAGCGTGGCATGGTTGTTGGTGTCTGAGTATTTCACAATCTGCTCAGTTACAGGGATTTTTAATGCACAACCATTTCTAAGGATTACAAAGAATGGTGTGAAAAGGGAAAAACATCCAGTATGCGTCTATGCGACAGTCCTGTGGGCAAAAATGCCTTTTTGAGAATGGGCCGACTGATTCAAGCTGATAGAAGAGCAACTTTGACTGAAATAACCACTCGTTACAACCGATGTATGCAGCAAAGCATTTGTGAAGCCACAACACACACAACCTTGAGGCGGATGGGCTACAACAGCAGAAGACCCCACCGGGTACCACTCATCTCCACTACAAATAGGAAAAAGAGGCTACAGAATGAGAACATGGATCCATCATGCCTTGTTACCACTGTGCAGGCTGCTGGTGGTGGTGTAATGGTGTTGGGGATGTTTTCATGGCACACTTTAGGCCCCTTAGTTCCAATTGGGCATCGTTTAAATGCCACGGCCTACCTGAGCATTGTTTCTGACCATGTCCATCCCTTTATGGCCAACATGTACTCATCATCTGATGGCTATACTTCCAGCAGGATAATGCACCATGTCACAAAGCTCGAATCATTTCAAATTGGTTTTTTGAACATGACAATGAGTTCACTGTACTAAAATGGCCCCCACAGTCACCAGATCTCAACCCAATAGAGCATCTTTGGGATGTGGTGGAACGGGAGCTTCGTTCTCTGAATGTACATCCCACAAATTTCCATCAACTGCAAGATGCTATCCTATCAATATGGGCCAACATTTCTAAAGAATGCTTTCAGCACCTTGTTGAATCAATGCCACGTAGAATTAAGGCAGTTCTGAAGGCGAAAGGGGGTCAAACACAGTATTAGTATGGTAATCATCCTTTAGGTGAGTGTATATCATACTTGTTTTCATAAAACACACCTTGAATCAAATGGCATATATGAAAAAAAAAGTTTCCAGGATGTTTTAAATATAAACCTCCAGTTTGTGAGCAAACAAGCATGTTTATTGGAAAGCCAGATAGAAAGTTTTACTCTAGCATCAACTTTGCCTCATGTTTCTGCTAAACTTCTTTGGAAGGAATAAAAATAGCCAATTGTTGACACGGTAAATCCACAATCACACTGGCAGTGAAAAAAACAGCTGCAGGTCATTATTCTCAGTGCTAGTTGGCGTTCCCACGTCGCGTCACTGCTTATTTGCATAACGTTGAACTCTGCTTGACTTTGTCTCATCACCAACGGTCATGGTTGCGCATGTCACTGGAAAATTGCAAAATTAATGTCCTTTGTTGCCAAAAACAGTCATTGTAAACAACTCTGAATAGGGCTTTGAAATTGTGATGAGAAGAGATCATATCATAATTAATTCTCAGACTTTTATTACAATTCAGAGCACAATTTGTGACTTAGTGTTCTTGTGTTTGTAAGTCTCTCCTGTGTGTTTTTTTTTTCTGACAGGCTGATGCTAAGATGGTCTGTGATGTTGTGAGCCGTATGGAGGATACCGAGCCCTACTCTCCCGAGCTGCTGTCCGCCATGATCCGCCTGTGGTCTGACTCAGGCATCCAGGAGTGCTTCAGCCGTGCCCGCGAGTACCAGCTCAATGACTCCGCCCAATAGTGAGTATGGCTCTCTGCTGGGAAGAGCCATTAGTGCTTTTACTCTTCATTAAGAGCATTCTGCTTAAACATACGCATCTGTTATTATATCATTGACTATCACACTGCAGTCCTTTTCATTTTAGAAGCGCAGGGCATATATTTTATCGACTGTAAATGCGGTTGCGTCTACATTATAATATGTATAGTCTTTATTCTCAACGCTTTTTTTGAACACGAGCTCAGCTAAATGTCATTCTGAAGTGAGAGATACTGTAAATTCACAGATGCAATTACAGTATCTGCTGATGTGTGTTTGTGTGTGCATTCGTGCCTCACTGTATGTGTGTGTAATAACATTGAAAGAGTTTAGTCAGCATTACATTTCAGATTTTGTGGCTTAATGTAACAGTTTGGGAACCTGGTCCTTGTGGAAAGTGGTGTTTAGATGAAGACAAATTACTTGCTCACAGATTGACAACATAGATTATGTTAGAAAGGCTTAAAAACACTTTTTGTTATGATGGTTGATACCTGATAGCAATCAATAATAAAGGTGGTCTAAATATTAAAACATGTACTGTATATCTTCTGTAGAAGTCACAGGACAAATTTTGATTTGGTCAGAATGCAATGATTTGATGTCCTGCAAACATATGTATTTCCATACGTCTGTGCACCCTTCTCGCGCCGTCAATCAGAGTTGTAGACAGACTGTCACAAACAGCAGCCATCTTTTACAGTTCCTGAACCAAAACAATGAGCCTATACTGCTTTTGTGTTTTGAAGGAGGCATGGCTTTGGATCTGAAGGAAGGGTTGGATCTTGTGCTTTCAAAGCTAGGTTGCTATTGCTTGCCTCTCCGTAATTGCCTACCCTACTGTTATTGTTTAGGCTACCAAAAGACAAGCTTAGAGAGACATTTCTCTTCCTTATCATTTGCTAGCCTGGTGAACGCAAGACTACATATCATTGAGAATGAGACGTGGCCTGGAAACCACATGTTCATTTTCTCGTATTTGAATTGAGGCGTGGTTTACAAATGCCCAGAGCCGTATTATTGGATGCTATGAATATCTATCAAATGCCCCTGTACGTAGCTCATAGCCAATCGGTTCAATGATACCAGATGACGTATGTAGAGCGACAGACGATGATGGGTCAGAGATTTAGGAGATTTATGTATACACAAAACTAGAGCCCAACCGATAAAGGATTTTGAAGGCCGATACAAATATTTTTGGGTTTTAAAATCCGATATTCTGATATATCGATATATCGATATTTTTTTTTTATTAAATATTGTTGGATTTCACACACGTGTGAAAGAAAAGCTAACTTTTCTGCACAAGATACGTTTGATACTTTTTCTCTATGTCTAAATGTTCACTCCTCGGAAGTATAACTTACATTTTACAATGCAGAGACTGTAACTAGAGATATGCTAAGTTATAAATACAGTAATATTTACTTTATTTAGGCAGAAAAAGTTCATTGTGGTTTCCAAGCTCATTAATGTTAACGTTAGCGGTCTTCCACTGATGATAGTGGCATTAGCTAGCTTTGTGGTTAGCTAGTCTATAATGAGCCATAATTTAGCAATAGATAACCTCATACTGCAAATTGTAAAATTTAGAGATGATTAAAGCGTGTTTCGTCCGTTTTTATTTTATTTCAAATCAGTTGAGCCGATATGTTTAATGTCAAACATTAGGCTGTATCAAAAAGGTAACTTCGCGTCCCCTGCCATGATGGGTCCATAGATATAAATGAACTGCTTCGGTGTGTCGCATTTACGTCGTCATCGTCTTGCTGCTCCCTCCCCGTTCTGTGATTGGTTCCCTATCTCAGGCAAAAATTTGGTTCATGCACTCTCAGAAAAAAAAGGTACAAAAGCTGTCACTGGGGCTGTACCTTTTCAAAAGGTACACTTTTGTCCATTTTAGGTGCTAATATGTACATTTGAGGTGCTAATATGTACATTTAATGTGATAATATGTACATTTTAGGTGCTAATATGTACATTTTAGGTGCTAATATGTTCATTTAATGAGATAAAATGTCCCTTTTAGGTGTTTATATGTACATTATAGGTGCTAATATGTACATTTTAGGTGCTAATATGTACATTTCATGAGATAATATGTCCATTTTAGGTGGTAATATACACATTTTAGGTGATAATATGTACATTGTAGGTGCTAATATGTCCATTTCATGAGCTAAACTGTACATTTCAGGTGCTAATATGTACATTTTAGGTGCTAATTTGTACATTTCATGAGCTAATATGTCCATTTTAGGTGGTAATATACACATTTTAGGTGATAATATGTACATTGTAGGTGCTAATATGTCCATTTCATGAGCTAAACTGTACATTTCAGGTGCTAATATGTACATTTTAGGTGCTAATTTGTACATTTCATGAGCTAATATGTCCATTTTAGGTGGTAATATACACATTTTAGGTGATAATATGTACATTGTAGGTGCTAATATGTCCATTTCATGAGCTAAACTGTACATTTCAGGTGCTAATATGTACATTTTAGGTGCTAATTTGTACATTTCATGAGCTAATATGTCCATTTTAGGTGGTAATATACACATTTTAGGTGATAATATGTACATTGTAGGTGCTAATATGTCCATTTCATGAGCTAAACTGTACATTTCAGGTGCTAATATGTACATTTTAGGTGCTAATATGTACCACTAAGGTACCAATATGTAGCCTTTGGATACAAAAGTGTACTTTTTGAAAAGGTACAGCCCCAGTGACAGCTTTTGTACCTTTTTTTCTGAGAGTGTGGTGTCCAGGCTGGGGAAACCCAGGCTAATTATTTGCAGAAATATCACCAAGTTCAAGCCAGTACATCACATGAATGATCAGTAAGACGAACAAACTTTCTACTAGTGTTTCAAGTGCAGGTGTTTCAAAACTGAAAAACCAAATGGTGGAAGGACAATAGATTTAATTTTAGGATTTATGTATGTTTTGTGATAGATTGCTGTTAGGAGCTAAAATAGATGCACGACTGAACTATATATGACTATACGACATTTACTGTTAACAGGCATTTTTTTTTACTTTTTTTTAATTTCCATTTTCTATTTTATTTATAGATTTATTTTGTTTTATCTTTTTATTTTATTCTATTTTATTCTAGTATGTTGTGTTAAAATATTGGTCGCACTGTATCTTTTTGTGTGTGCCATTATAAAAAAAGTCATGTCTCTTTTTAGTGTCTTTCTTTTGCTGTACCCAGTCTTTTTATCTCGTCACATTCAATTCAGACTGTTAACTCAGTACAAATGAGTGCAAGATATATTTCCTGTGGTTGTGCTCTAGATTTAGTAGCTACGCAGTGCACAGGAAACACTGCTGCACACCAGTGTTTGTGTTTTAGCTTGCGTGTGTGTATATTTACACTAAAGACATGGCCAGCTAGACAGGTACAACTTGAATGTCTAAATCATTCTTTCACATCAATCATTGACTGTATGAAAATGAGTTCAAGAGAAATTGAAGATAATTTATTTTGGGCACACTGGCTTCCTCTTGTCTTTAGGCTGTAGTCTTGTCTTTCTCCTCCCAAAGGTTCATTGGAGACATTTCTGAACATTTCCGATTGAGGCGCAGTGGTATTTTCCACAGTGAGATGCTGTACCAGGAATAGATCAGCCATCATAGTATTCCGAAAACTTATATTTCCACAATTTCTGTCCTTCCTCTCATTCATTCACCAGCTTGTTCTATATTACTCTGATAACATCCACTTCATGGTGCTACGGATGAGTTTAAAAGCTCCTCCCTTTTTACACCGCAAAACACCCCAGTTGTGTTCCTCTTGTTCTCTCAGTTTTGTTCCTTATCAGTTTTATTTTTGTTTTTGACTTCTTCTTTTCAACTCTAGGTCTGCTAATACTTTGTATAATTTCACAGTATTTTATCTGATAATAGAGTTAAAGAGAAGCATGTTCTACTTCTGGGTAAAAGAGATGTGCTGCAATATGACTGTCATAATTGCTTGAGGTGCACTTACATGAAATGAAACTTGCTAGATTTTGTATTTTTAAGTTAAGCACGTTCATTTTTGACATTTCCAGAGCAAATATTGGAAATTTCTGTGTTCTTATTTAAGTCTTGGACAGAGTCATTTTTCAGATGAACTTTGATTGGCTTCGACTTTAGAAGATATAGCAGCAAGTTTCACTTATTCTCAATTTTTTTGTGGTTGTCATAGTGTATGTTCACTGAATTACTGTCAAAATCAAAATAACTTGTATCCTGGCAAACTAGGTCAGTCATTGTCAAGAAACTTTCTCAACAATGAGAGATACTGGTAATTATATATATACAGTATATATATTAGTGCTGTCAAACGATTAAAATATTTAATCGCGATTAATCGCATTAATGTCATAGTTAACTTGCGATTAATCACACATTTTAATCTGTTCTAAATGTCTCTTGATTCTTGATTTATTTTTGTTCCATTATTTTTTTTTAATTTAATGCTCTTATCAACATGGAAAAGTGGATCGACTTGCTTTGTGCAATTGTTTTTTTATTGAAAACAACATTGACATACTGTATTCAAATTCACACTAGAATTCTCACTTGAAGCAAATAATCTCTCACACAATGTAACACTGTCCATCAATAAATGGGTGAAAGAAATACTGACGAGGTCTTATTGGCATCCAATTCGGCGTCTTGCACTCGCCATCCATTCAAAACATAACGTTAACCAACTATTTGGCCGTCGCGCGAGCCTAAACAAGTGTTTGTGGCGTGCCTGTTGTTTAGTCTCCTGTTTAGCTAGATCCGCTTGCGCTTTGGTCGGCGAAGCTACAAAACGTCCTAGCGCGGCGCAAGCCATTGAAATGAATAGGTTTCATGGCGCAGCGCCGCGTCCTGTTGCAAAAGCATGTGAAAATAATTACAAAATTTGCTTGGCCAAAAAGAACGCTAATTGCGCGATAAAAAAATTGACGCCGTTAAAATGGTTTGC